CTTAAGGGGTTAACAGTTAGATTATTTAAAGCAATGGAATTCCCTGTGTGATAGAATCGGCGTTCAAACTAATCCGACTAATCTAATGCGCACCACTAGACGTCCAACCTCGAGTCATTATGGGGATCCCCGGCTAATGCGAGTAACATTGGGATCAATACGTGATATCGAGACGACGCTTTTGTCCGCATACCGCCTACTGACTGAAAACAGTGGAATACGCATATTTCCTGATGTTCCCTGGAGCGAACGCCAGCGGGACAAAACTACTTCAAACGACTACCACATGGAGACTAACCAAAGAATTATTTTCGTTCATGACACACCCGACAACCAACAACGAAGAAGCCCACGCTCACGATAGGATAGAATGGCGTTACATCCGTGAAGCTATGTGTGGGCGATGTCATATTTCAGTCGTTTACACGGTTACCCGTGTCTCCAAACTACAGAGGCAGTGGCCCGAGGAGACTGAATTTAACGGTGCAGTCACAACAGATTGTCATAAACTTAATCCGTGGCTGCCCGTTACTACGCAACACAGTTCCTTCGGAACTACGACTTAAGACAGCAATTAGAGAGCCGCAGCCCATCGCTGTTCTCGCAGAAACGACACCACCCGCGACACAATATAACCACAACAGCGATTTAGAAACCTGTGCGCTAAGACCCGTAGATATCGAGAAGACTGCCGATGGACTACATGCCGCAGGTGCAAGTGAGACCAAAAACTGATTGCATTCTTATCGAGATTCCATAATTCACCCAGAAAATGATTAGGTGACGGCCTCTCATCGGTCGGTACAAATCCACATCATTCATGTGCTCTTAGTCAACGGGTTTTGACATCCGAGAAACTTTCCTGTATGTACACCAACACTCAAGGCTTACTGAGTAACCTGACATAAGTGACATGGAGTTCGCACTACCAGGCATGTCCATTGTTCAGCACGACCGACCCAGCAAAGGTGGTCGGGTGACTCTGTACCTCCGCCATGACATCCAATGTGAGCCCATAGAGGATTCGGTCAGCACGGTACAAGATTCCCTTTGGTGCCGTCTACGTTTACAAGGCGACGACACTTGTTTAGTGGCGGTCACATACCGCCCTCCTTCCTCCAAGCCAGAGATGGATTCCCATCTGGCATCCGCAATAAGAAGAGTGATAAACACAACTTACATTCACATTCTCATTACTGGCGATTTCAACATCACCTTCTGGAATCCCAAGCTTCTCCCGGGGAACAATTTAACGCCGATCTACAAGTGTTTGTCTCCAGTTACCCGCCGTCACACCCGATTCCGAGAAAAAGACAAGCCGTCAATACTTGATCGGATATTCACCAACGAAGAACTAATGGTCGAGAGGGAGATCGTCGGCGTCCCATTTGGCTGCAGCAATCATGCAGTACGACTCTTTGCATACATTTGCTATGCAGAATATCCCTTGGAAATCGCCAAAGCAACAAAAACACATGTACGCTACGACATATTAGCGCGGCTAGGTGAGACAGCCAACTGCACATTTCTGTCAGACGAGGCAGCAGCTAGTGCATGGGAACATTTCGTCAACCAGTCTAACTCTGATTGCCGAAGCGTCAGCGACTAAGACATTCCAGCTGGGAAACGTGGTCTCGTTTCTGCTGCGCATGACACGCAAGTGTATAACGGTGCAAAACAGCCTAGCATATCTACGAACTCTCCCCCAGCACCGAGAACTAGATGGGCTATGCGAACCAACGTAACACTATACTCAGCTTGTTCGCGAGGATGAAATGGCGTACCGGCAGAAGTTGGCAGTGCGTATGGCCTCAAATCACAATGCTTCTGTATCATCAAGTCAACAGCTTGCGTAAGGTGAAACGAGGAATTTCTCCTTATTAAACAGAGGACGGACACCGAAGAAGACTACGATTACAATACGCTGCAACATTTCAGTGCGATCGCTAGCCACATAACCCTGTGACCATGGTTGTTTCACCCTTAAAACTCACTCACATATCCTTCACGGAAGAAGCTGTACTAAACAAGCTGTTGGGTATGCGCAAGCACAGCTCTCCTGGAGTTGATACTATACATATGACATCGCTAGCGGCTGTAGGAGAGAGTTTAGCTAAGCCTTTTGCTCGATTCTTCCAACACTTTTGACGAAATGTACGTGCTCGACATGTGGAAACACAGGATTATTTCACCTATTCATGAGGGAGGTAATCGTTCCAATCCAACCAACTACCGTCATATAATATTACTACCGGTTCTTTCAAAGGTCATGGAAGTTATTGTTTCTGATGCACTAGCGACCTACTTGGAAGAATTTAACTACTTCACACCGGAACAGCATGGCTTCCGACGAAATCGATCGTGCACTACAAATCTACTACTAGCGCGGTCCAGCTGGACTGAAGTGATAGACTCTGGCACAGAAGTTGATGTGGTCTTTCTCGACTTCTCCAAGGTGTTCGACCGGTTAGATCATAACATTCTGCTCTCCAAACTACAGACCTTTAGTATTGGTGATCCTGTCCTAGGATGGGTCAGCAGCTTTCCTCTACACCGGCGCCTGGAAGTACGTGTGCGTGAATCGCTGTCCCATCCGAATTGAATGCGGAGTACCACAGGAATCGGCTCTAGGACCGCGATTATTTTTGACATACATTAACTATATCACACGCATCATAAGCCCGAACTACCTTCTTTATGCCAGTGACAGTTGTGAAGGTCGACCGATACACCAGATGATATCACAGTACTTCAAGCTGATCTGGATAGGGTATACGCGTGGTCAATCCCAAATCTACCTCGATTCAATGTGGGCAAATGTAGAGTGCTGCAGCTACGGCACAGGTTGGTGCACTCCTACAAATTCGACTACCAGGAGCTTCAAACGTCTTCTGGCGAGAAGAATCTGGGAGTTTTGGTCCAGGTTCATCTTGGATGTCCGAAACAGGCTAAACTGCGTCTAGGAGAGGCATCCAACTTTTGGACCTCCTGAAGCGTGCATTTAAACGATTCCAACTACTGATGTTTCTACAACCTCTCAACTCATACATACGGCCACATGTGGACTACGCAATACAGGTCTGGAAGCCATGGCTGAAGATTGATCTCACTGCCTTGGAGCTACCCCAACGCCTGGCAACCAAGGATGTCAAGCGTCTGCACAATTTGCCGTATGAACGGAGGCTACTATTGCTCAGGGTCTTCAGCAGACAGCATCGGCGATTGCGCAAAGACCTCATTTTGACTTACCAGATTTTGTGAGATCCCAACCACACGTGCCGCGAGTTGCTAAAGCTCAGTCACAACAGCAATTTGAGAGGTCACCATCTCAAACTGCCAGAGCAACACATTCCCTTGAAATGCCGTCGGAATTTCTTTTCCGTACACGTTTACAGGACGTGGAACGCCCTACCGGAATCTGTCATATGTGCTCCCACACTGATAGAGTTCAAAGTCCTAGTTGGCTGTGCACTTATTTCGCTGCATCATCTTACATGACCCATTACCCATGGATAAACACAAGTGTCTGTAAGAGGTTCCACCGGTGATCAAGTTCCAGATTTCGTTCTACGTGCTTCACCTCTTGTATGTGTACCACAGAAGAAGACACGATGTTCACCAACATCCCATTTGCCGTCATTTCTTATGGATTTACCTTGAATTTACAGTCTATACTGCGTATGCTTCAGTGAATTCACCACTGTAAACCCAATTTGGCTAACCGTTTTTTGTATTTTGAAGTTTCTCTATAACCATCCTACGGGACGTGTTAAGCATTAGCTTTTTTACCCGTATACAACCATTGTTCCATTGTCTTGCCTTCCAGTTTGGAGTCCACGTGACGCCTTATTCTTGGCTCGAGACTTCACAGGACATGGTTCGCAGTCGACAACAGTGGTGCGTCTGCTTCCTTTTCCTAGTCGGACTGTCTGTTTAAGTGTGTTTTGTGCTCATTTATCTGCTGGATAATGTCTTATTATGATGCGGGGCAGTGCAATCCGCAAGAGTGCTCTCTCACTGATTGCGCCTTTTCCTTGCATGGTAGGCAGCTGTTTGTGAAGGTATGTTGTTGACAAGATGTAGGCGCCTTGACTCTGAATGTTTGCTTAGGGTTTTCCGGTAAGTCCCCTTTCTCTGCCTTTTTATTCCTCTTCGTTCCGTACATCGCTGTGGTTGTACGGAGGTGAAGCATCAGTTCAGCTGATGATGATGATGACCCGTCAGAAATATAGCGCTGAAATGTACTGTTCTTTTGAATTTGGGTAACATCCTAACGACACCAAGTGCCGAGGTCCGGCCAAAAACTATTAACTACAAAACCACTAGTTGCTGTGGTTATTCGGTAGTGCAATTCGCGATTATACCTAGTATTCGTCGCTGTCTCCCGAGTCAAATTTCAATAACTGGGTACTGTTCCATCCCTGTTGCAGTGGCAACCAATCGCGATTCTGGGTAATCCATGGACGGTTGCGTATTGTCGATGCCATTTTAGGCCAATCGTGTGCCTTCGGTGCAACACCGTACGGTCTTGTTTGCTTGCCAACATCACTGACTGCCACATTAGTGAGACCTGACTGGTTTTGTGTCCACAGATCTGTTTACCTGATGTTTCTAAGACTTCAGCTACTTCCGCAAATGTTTATTACTGGTAAATGTCTCTGAGCGCCATGCTTGACGTACTGTCACCCACCCCTGACCCACGGACAAGCTGCTGGATTTCAGAGAGCGTGGGATCTTTTCCTATTGGGTCTGGTGGGTACGCGCTAGTAACCAGTCACAGTTGGACGAAACGTCCGCCTAGCGCTTTACAGTATGCATGCGAGGCTCTCTGCTTAGGAGTTTACTACAATAGATCACCTCTAAGCTTATTCAGGTATAAGGAATCCTCGCTTAAGGCGTAAGGAAATGTTATTATAGACTCCATTAAAGCTAGCGATCAGTTCACCCGGAGATCAACGTGCTGTTGAGGTTCGTATTTTTCTGAATGATCTCGAGGTCTGTTTAGGTCAATGCGTTGATCGGCACACTTGCTTCTTCATATCAACCCTCCGCAGTTAGAGAAAAGGGCAAACTAGCGAATGTAATCTTGGCTATCGATAGATTCAGATTGGCAAAAAGTAATCGCGGGAAAGTAGACTGGGGAGAAGTGTCTGATTTCTCATGGTAGAAAGATAATTGTTAATTGTCCGGATTCTGTGCTGCCCTCAGACCGTGTGTTCATGCCACCAATAAAGACTCGTTGCAGCGACGATATCCCGGTAAATGAGTTTGGAGGCTGAAACCGAGGCAACAGAATATGCAGATTTAGTTAGAAAGTAGGTATACAAATCGTGCTAAATTATGAAGTGCCAATCGGGGCTAAATGAATGCAAGACATCGATCGGGTGTGTTACCTCAACATAGGAGGTATTCCTTGTCACCTAGGAGCGAAGTCTGTTTGGGCCTGGATATTCCATATGAAAAATGGCCGATAGCTTACGGTATAGGTGAAAGCGATTACTTGGTGCAGTGACCACAGTACGTCATGCAGAATGTTAGCCACTTATCTGCTGTTCGGCAAAGATGTTTAACAAAAGATGCGATTACTGCGCTAAATTCAACTTCGGTATTAAGCCTAAGTCTGAGATTAAGCCTAGAGTTCCTAACACACCTATTGTGATCAAATTTGAAGGTGTGGAGCGGTGATCGATGCCAGTACCATGTTCTATGCATTGTAGATGCAAATTTGGAAAGTATGAGATTTATACCGCGTCAGCGATCGGCTTTAAACATCGAGGTACAAGCCATGTATAAACGAACAGGGGAGTCATTGGTAGTTCTTTGAAGTTGTCAACTTCTGAATGTCTCAATAAACCGTGGGGCTGGCTCACCTTTCATGAACTTTCTTTCTAGTTTTGTGTCACCTGCCACACTGGCTGCAGCGGACATTTCGCGCAGTAGCTCGTTCAAGCGTCGCATGCAACGAATCAAACCGCCTTCGTAAGCCGAGGTGATCTCACACAGTTCAGCGAAGCTGGATTTTTCAGCCCACCTCCGCACGACCTCCATGAGTTCTCCTGAGAACCGACCCACGTAGGTTTGTTCATTTGCCAACCTTCCGGTGCAATAGTTCATATAGCCAGACTGAGTTGCATTCAAATTCTTGATTCCATCTGACTCTACTGCTAGAGAACGCGGACAGCTTGCGCGGCTTTCGGCGGCTGCGCGTGCTAGGTATCGTGCTTTGGCCTTTAGTCGAAGAGAAGAATATGAGTACATTAGGTGTAAGAGCAAAACTATTCTGTTGGTGTAGTTGCAGTGTAGTTACTTTGTAGATCACATAGGCAGCAGCCCGTTGACGCTGCCAAAATTCATCAAGAGTACCGAATAATTGTTACAAGAAACTGAACGCTACTGTGGCGTAGATGTTTCCGCTGTGAGTAGGTTGACAAAACTGAAATGAAAACGGACTGTAATGCAATTCAGTTATTCTATTTTCTTATCTATGGTTAGGGATCTACATGGTGGTTGATACCTTCACATTGGTAAAATCTGGTAGCGGTGCATACTCGGACTAAGCGGTCGGCTGATGCCAGATGAATTCGTAGAATACTTCGAGTTGTTCAGCGCGTGTTCTCGTCCACGGATTTAAAGTTCCGAAAGCTGTTATAGATTGTTCCGCTTGTCAAACTGAGCAAGAGACTAGGCCTTGAGGCTGCCGTGAATAAGTGTGCCTGACACCAGCGCAGTCTACTAAGCATTGGGTAGACCACACTGCGCGACGCGTCTATATGCTTATTTTAAGCAGGGATCAACTGATTTCACGTTTGGACCTCGGGCGAACAGTCTGCGCCCAGCTAATGATGACGTTTCTCTGGCTAGCAACAATGCATATATATATATGCTTGGCGGTATCCGGTTCCGGATTTGCCTGTCACTGCGACTTTCATAGGACGGATGCACCTACAGTCCAACCATGAGCAACTTGCGTTACAACACCCACAACTCCATCCACTCACCCGATATCTGGTGTAAACCAGAAAGAAAATGTCCGGGAGACATGTGGATGGGAGCCACGTTTCATCAAGGAAGCCGAACCACACTCCTTTAACATGCACAGCCGCAACATTCCTATTTAACTGGGGAGTCATACATACAATATATATATATATATATATATATATATATATATATATATTGTGCCAGACCCCAGTGACTTGAGGAAGAAGAGTCAGTTTCGCAAACTTCGACGGTGACTGACTCGAGTGCTCCGTCGCAGTAAGAATGCATGGTGGACGGAGAAGGCGAAGCAGATGGAATGCTACGCTGAACGCCGTCAACACAAGAAATTCTTTAACTTCTTGTAGGCGGTGTATGGACCAAGACTGGAGCCGATGAGAACGCTGATCGATGGTAGTTCAGGCGCTGCATGCACACAGACTGCAGACATATTGCAGATCTGGCGGAAACACTTTGACTGTCTCTTGAATAACTGTTCAGAGATCGACTGGCCTACACTGAAGGGCCTCAAGCAGCACGATGTGAAGACGAGTCTGGCGGACACGCCGACACTTGATGAGACGCAGAGAGCACTTGCTCAGCTGCGAAACGGCAAGTGTGCTGGGGCCGACGGGATCCCGCCTGAAGTATTGAAACACGGTGGACCCGCGTTGTTGACTGCGCTGCACCACTTAGTGCAACGTGTATGGATTGAGGAGGAGGTGCCTCCTGAGCTGAAGGATGCCCTTGTGCTACCACTGTACAAGCGCAAAGGGAGCAAGCAATGTTGCATGAATTATCGTGACATCAACTTGCTGAGTTGTGTGGGTAAGCTGATTGCCCGAATCCTGCTCAACCGCCTCGTCTGTCAGCTTGTGGAACCTAATGTGGCGGAAGAGCAATGTGGATTCCATTCGGGTCGCAGCACTAGAGATATGGTGTTTGCGGCTCGTCAATTGCAGGAGAAGTGTAGAGAACGAGACCAGCCGTTGTACTCGCTTTTTGTTGATTTCACCAAGGCATTTGATACGGTATACCGCGAGGCATTGTGGCTGGTGTTGGGTAAGTTTGGTTGCCGGCATAAGTTTGTAAGTTTAATTGAATGTCTGCGCTGTGGTATGCGAGCGAGGGTGCAGCTGAGTAGAGAGACCTCGGATGACTTTGCAGTTGTTTCTGGTGTGAAACAAGGCTGTGTCTTAGCTCCTGCCCTGTTTAATATATCATACAATGTTCTGTGCTTTTGGTGTCGCTTGTGCTTACGGTGTCCGTGTGGAGCACCGCATTTGATGATGGGTTGCTGAACATCCTTCGTTTCGGTGCGAGAACTCTAGTCTGTGAGACAACTATCCGTATGTTGCTGTTTGCTGACGACTGTGCGTTGTTTTCACACAGCGCGGATGAGTTGCAGCACATGACTAGTGCTCTGGCTTCGACAACGGCCAAATTCGGGCTCACCATCAACACAAGCAAAACTGTCTGTCTCTTTCAGCCTTCACCGGAGATGCAATCTGCAATACTGCCGTAAATCAGCATTGGCGCTGTAGTATTGGAAACCACCTCCCGCTTCTGCTACCTTCAGAAATTGGTTTTGACTGACCAGCAGGTACACAGTGAGCTTCGTATCCGCGTCTCGAAGGCAGCGGTGGCATTCGGGGAGCTAGACTACCGAGTGTGGAACAACAATCAGCTTACCGTTAGCACGAAGCTGATGGTGCACAAATCCACGGTGCTGTCCGTCCTTCCATACGGCAGTGAAACTTGGACGATGTACCGGTGGGATATGCGATATCTCGAGGGATTCCACCAACAGTGTTTGCGACGGATTTTGCGAATCGGATGGGACGACATAGTTGCGGACACGGAAGTGTTTCGCCGAAGCGGAATGTATGCAGTGGACTGCGTACTTTTGCTGAGGTGGCTCGGTCATGTGTGGCGTATGGATTCGGCGCGGACACCGAAAGAACTCTTATACGGTCAGCTGAGTAATGGGAAGCGGCATGTGAAGAAACCAAAGTTACGTTACCAGAACATGATTAAAGTGAGCTTCTCACGTTCTAATCTTGATTGCAGGTCATGGGAATCGAATGCGGTTGATCGGCGTGCATGGCGCGATCTGATTACGAAGGCCGTTGCCAAGGTGCAAGAGGAAGCCCTCGTGCATGGAGAGAAGAAGCGGCAAGCACCGATGGGTTGTATTTCATCGACAGCGAGCGCGTGGTGCTGTAGCAGATGCGGTCGAGAGTGCCTGAGTCAGACAGGCCCAGTGAGCTTTGAGCGAGGCTACTCGGAACCACCTCCGAAGCGACGACGGGTCCTGCAGAGAACGTAGGCAGAACCTGCGCAGCGTTTGTGGATACGCTGCATTCGATGTATTAACCGTGTGCTTGCAAGTTGAGTCTATATTTCAGGTGGTGGGTTTGCTATATTGTCCTAATACCTTTTTGTCTCATATTAATGTCTACTTAAACTATTTTCTACAAACTTGCACACGTCGCTGAAGCTGATTATAGGTAATTTTGATAACGTTTTCGCGTTTATGGCATTTCCTTAAAATGTATTTTCTGACGTCTTGAACTTATCGCGGATTCCTTCGTAATCAAATTTTTATACGCCTATTAAGTGAACAGCTATGTCCCCGTACCTGTATGCTTTGTCCTTTTTGGTTTATTTGTCTTGTCCTTTTAAGTGATTGGCTGTTAGTTGACATCCCCGGTGTGGCTGCGCTTGTTGTGCATGTTGACAAGGTGCCTACCTGTCTAGTACCCACTACCTCGTCCATGCTGGCTCCAGTAGACAGCTGGTCGTGGCTGGATGGGACGGGGTGCACGGTCCTTGTGGCCGTGCTAAGCTCAAAGAGTGGTTCCATGCACCCAGTGTGGAGCGGACTACGGTCCAGCCACCGCCTTGTGTGCGCTTGATTCCCAACTACAGTGTGCTTGTGTTTGCCTGTGAAGGAGTGTGGACCGGCTCTGTTGATGAAACCTGGCTTCCATCCGCATGCCTCCCGGTCTTATTCCTTCGGGTTTACACTGGATATGGGTGTGTGGTTAGAGCTGTGGGTGGTGCAGCGCAAGCCATCCATGATCCCTCTGTAGGCGCAGGCATCCTGTAGTTGGCCATAGTGATAGACAAATCCGAAACCGGATGCCGCCAACCATATATATATATATATATATATATATATATATATATATATATATATATGTATATATATATATATATATATATATATATATATATATACATGGTTGGCGGCATCCGGTTTCGGATTTGCCTGTCACTGTGGCATGCCACAGGACGCCTGCGCCTACAGAGGGACCATGGATGGCTTGCGCTGCACCACCCACAGCTCCAACCACATACCCCATATCCAGTGTAAACCCGAAGGAATAAGACCGGGAGGCATGCGGATGGGAACCACGTTTCATCAACGGAACCGGCCCACACTCCTTCACAGGCAAACACAAGCACGTTGTATTTGGGGAATCAAGCGCACACAAGGCGGTGGCTGGACCGTAGTCCGCTCCACACTGAGTGCATGGAACCGCTCTTTGAGCCTAGCACGGCCACATGAACCGTGCACCCCGTCCCCTCCAGCAACGACCAACTGTCTCCTGGAGCCAGTATGAACGATGTAGTGGGTAATAGACAGGTAGGCACCTTGTCAACATACACATCAAGCGCAACCACACCGGGGATATCAAACAACAGCCATTCACTTTAAACGACAAGCTGAAATAAAATAAATCCAACAATGCATACAGATACGGTGGCATAACTCTTCGCTAATTTACCATATGAAGTAAGTGGGTTAACAACAAATCCGTGATAAGTAAGAAATGTCCACAAGTTACTTAAAAATGCTACAAAACGCAACAAAATTACCGAAGATAAGCGCAATTAGTGTAAGCAACATGGCCAGTTAATAGAACATTATTCAGGGAGGCAGAACAAACCAAATAAAGCGGAATGAAATTTATCCAGCTTAAAAAGACCTAGTTTAAGTGTAAGTTGGTTTAGCCCAACTGCGGTGAAGAAGCATTAAGAATGCAACATCAGCCTCAGCATGGGGCACTATATATATATATATACATATATATATATATATATATATATGTATGTATATATATATATATACATACATATATATATACTACTTTCATTTCAAACTTGACTTGTTTACTTCTTTTGTAGAATATTAACTATTTCTCAGCAAGGAGGAGCATAACATCCTTGAAGAGATTAAGTCGATAATAGCTAATCTGGTTGCTGCCCTTGGCTATCCCCATATTAGGAACTCACTTCCTGCGGTCCTGTTACGCTACCATTCCGTTACTCTTTTGTATGACTTCTCCTAACGTCTGGGCGGACGTCGGGCTAGTCAGCAGACGTTACCCCAACGCTTTCACCTTCGAAACCACGTCCTCTGCTATGTTTAGCATACTGGAGTAAGCCGACAGCAGCTTCAGCTGTTATGACGAGCCTATGATCCTCTATGGGTCTTCTGGCATGTGGATTTTGGCGTTGTCCATAATCGGCCCTGCACCTTCATCTTCGCAATGTACACGCACCACAAGCTCTTCGACGAACTTTAAGAATTTCGCACCATCGTTGATTATAATACACGATTATTCTCTTAATCATTCATCATCAAAACTATCCTCGCCATGCAGCCTCTGATTGTGGGCAAAAAGATGTTCGCACGCGCCCCTCTCTTTGAGCGCGCTTGCATGCGTCACAGATTGAGTTTGAACACACCCTCTGAAATCTGACTTTCAATTAGGCACAAAGCTGTTAAGGTCCTATACATACACACGCGCGCAATGCACGAAGGCTGATGGGAGGCAGGGAACCACTCTATCACCGCTTTTGATCGTAACGAACGACGCTCTCGATCAAGTGGAGAGTTTGCACCGGCTCCCGCTCCCTGTCAATTCGGATTGCATTAGCTTGATCGCAATGTGATTTGAACATCGTCCAGTCCTCTCACTCCTACTTGCTGAACTTTGCAGGAACGTGATGGTAGCGAACTCATCGCCTGGAAGCAGCAGTACTGGACCACATTTCAAGAGTTTCGGAGTGGCAATGTAAATTTCGTCTCCAATATGATGCTAATTTTGGCAAAGGCAGCAGCGGGACAGCCCCTTTTCAAACTCACTACCTTTAAGGTTAGCATTTTCTTCCTTGTAACTAAACTGCCTGTCTGTCTAGCCTAGCTTGAAACATGCCCACTTTGGTTTTATGACTGCCTAGTTTGAAATGAAAGTGGCTTCACTGTGGGCGCACATGTCCTACTATTTGTATACATATTCATCCTTGTGTTTATACAATATATACGTAACATAACCCAGAACCTTTATCGCATCATTTGGTATCCCCGTAAGTGACTAAGTTCAGCCTCCATACATGACATGTTGCACGCTCATACCTGACACCAGGTGGTTTGACACAACGTAATCATACGTTTGAACCAGCAACTTACATGAACGGTCTGTAGTACCCGTTCCAGATCGGAGCCCACAGGTGTGATATGCTGTTTGATTACTGATCGCTCCACCACAGAGCACGACAGTACACTGGCAATTTGCACAGGTGTGAGACCATTGAATACTCCATCCAGAAGCAATTCGGTCAGAAGGAGTTCATCTCCTGTGAATATTTTGCATGCGATGCGACCTTTGCGTGTCATCGCCTCATCCTCCGAGCAGTATCCCAAACGCTTGAGTAAATGCTTCTGAAAATCTAGCTCGTTCATGTGAAATAATGTATCCCTGTTTTTAAGCTGCCTTCGATAGGCATCTAGATCACTCTGCATCTGCGAATTGAAATAAAAGAGAAAGTAGATGATTTAACTAAAGTGTGGGTAAATAGAAAGATAACGCTACACCGAATTGACCACTCAGAAGCTTTCACTACCACTTCGTCAGTCAATGAACGATGATTTATCACGGGATAAAAGCAGGTGCTTGACACGTCCCGTAGGATGGTTGAGGTGAATATGATGAAATCAAAATATATCTGGGTCATTTACAGAACGTCTGCCGAGATGGATACTTTGATAATTAACATCAGTGTAAACTTAAAAAATTATCGAGCGTAAACGTTCAGAAAGACACTGGGGTGCAGTGATCGTTGATGTAAGGAGTGAGAAAAGTAAAATATGGTCGCTCACTTAGGTCCATTTGATACATAAATCCTGTTGAAAAGCATGATTGGCGCAATCCACAATGGAGGAGTTTAGGTAACAAAATGCTGGCAGCTAAGAGCAACATCTAACAGTTTTTTGAAAACGTCCAAAGTAGGAGAGGATACACCCGAGTCTGGGAGTGCGTTCCAGGGTTGATAAACCCGAAGGGAAAAGTAATTCCGTCGACACTGTAGATGGCTATATTGTTTTTTCAACTTTAAGCAGTTACCCCTGAGCTGCGGGTTGTGGCTAAGTTTCAGCAAATGGTGGCATACGTGATTGGGGTCACTCAGTATCTGATACGCTAATATGAGATCACCAGAAGCGACGCGAAGAAGTCGAAACCAACCGAACATCAGTATTGCAAACAACTTTGTTTAGGACCGCATTTGGAGTGACCGGTAACGGGAAACAAAGGTGATGCAGTTGCGGTGAGTTCGGCCATCAGCGATCGCTCAGTCACAATTACGAACATCACACCAATGTCCGACACTAGTGCTACTAATTACCTTTACTTAAAAATGATACGAAAATCCAATTGGATTAAACCCACTTGTCTAGGATCTCGTCAGCATCAGGAACGTGCAGAAAGCGGGAAACGAAAAGTAGAAAGATGCATATTTGGCGAAAGGATACGTTTCATTAATCAAACGGAAAAACGAACAGCCAGAGCAAACTGGCATACAGACTCCGCTCACCGCACATCAACATCCTGTCCAGAAGGGGCATAATCGCTAACCCAATTAATCTCGACGTTCGCATTGCGAAAGACGAAGGCAGCAATCAGTAACCTCGATACTTGCATCAGTCTTTCTTGTAATGTTATCACTGCAGTAGCACATGATGGTCATCAACACAGGAATGAGGGTCAGCTGATCGGAGACGTTGAAAGATATGCCGTTCAGGGAAATAATTGTACACAATACTTCAAAGGATCAGTCACGCTAAACCCGAACCGCAATGTGAGGTATGCATGCGTGAGTGATCCATAATGGTTGGTTCTTCCCAAGTGACTGCAGTTAATCATCGTCATCGATACATTTTAGCCGAGGGTGAGAAACTCCTCGGGTACTATGCCGCTATACCAAAAGAAATGACATCAAAAATTGCACTATAAATAATTCAAAAAGCAAGTAATCTACTGTTGAATATCACATTATTCATTTGATATGATGCTGTACTTGGAGGAGGAATCTAAAGGAGAGAAGGATGGACAAAGAAACTCACAACACAAACGCCATTGGGGCCGGCTCCTAGCCATGTCAGTAAGTGTGTCAAACCAAACGTGTTCATCGCCCTTCGGACCCCAGCCCGGCAGTCGGGATGCAACAACCGACGCCAACTTCGAAATGAGGGCTTTCATTCCTCTTGACCAAGTCAATCTTTGGCCTTCCCTCCTTTTCTTCCACCCAGACCCCAAGTGCGCAAATAACGCATGTCGCGGGAGTCGGTATGATGGCATGCGCAAAGTAGCCAGTGCTGTCTGCTGGCCAATCTGCAACAAAGTGCGCACATTAAAGCATGCCAGTCTTAGCGAGGATCCACGACTCCAAAGAGAAACGGATGAACTGACGTTGTCCGCTTGTCAACCGGACTGGAGCGACGTCCTGCGATTGTGTGTGAATTGAAACTACAACATAAGTGACTATTAGAGCAAGTCGGGGGAGGGCCAAAAATTGGGGGTGGAAGTGGGGATATGTTATAACGCTGCGCCCGCAATCGAGCGGTTGATTCACGTCGGCTGCTAACTCTGCGCCGTTACGCGTGCTCTGTTGACCCCTTGGCAAACCCGACCGGAAGGAAGACAGAAGAATACTCAGTAGACCAGAGTTATGTTAGGGCAAAGAACGCTCATATTTGTATGTCGGTATCACAATGCGCATTTCACTGTACGCCCACGCTCCACACATACGGTCAGTCTGATGGAAGAAGGCCGATTAGCGTTCATTTACCTACCCTGGCTCCCTTATGGTGAACGCCAGTCATTTACGGTTGTTGTCCCCAACATCCAATAGCCATCCAATGTTTAGCTAAATTCGCAATATGCTACTGCGCGTGCAGAGACATGAATTTTTCTCTCACCTTAGTGGTGCGGACGTATGGAATTCTCGGCAGACGAGTGATTTAGTGCAGGGCTCAGCTGAGGAAAAGCCTAACCTCTAAAGGCACACCGACATGAGAAGAATGCGGCAGCGTACGTAGCTTTGAGCAATTAATATGTACAGTTGTTTCGTGAAAACAAGTTATCACACCGATTAGAGCTAGCGAAACAATTCTGTTCGTACCACAGCCTTATTTACAGACACGTGAATGTACTTCAAAAGTTGCAGCGTACAATCGCAACACTCAATACGATTGGTGGGTATACACACACAACGAAAAAGGCGGACAACACCTCATTGCCAAGTACTGGCCTACTTTCGAAGGGCTACTAGCTTCAAACGTTATACTTGCTTCTGTCCCCACACCATCAGTGTTATCCAGCATCAAATTCATAGCAAAAATGGTTCTGAAAAAGATACTATCCTTGCGTACACACAGCTTTCCTGGTGTGCATAACCTTCACCCTAATGCACTGCAGGCAGCAGCCATTCACCTAGCCCATCCACTTGCCGGATTCTTTCAGAGAAGTCCGTCTGATCCTACCAATTACCGTCCGGTAACACTTCTCTCTGCCCTTGCCCAAGTCATGAAAGCGATCATCGTTGTCGTAATGACGGGCGACTTGGAAAACTTAAGCGATGCATTATTAGAATGGCTTGGTAATTTTCTCCGTGAACAGCAGTTCTAGGTTATAGTCCGAACATCTCTGCCCGACCCTACTCGAGTGGAGTGCGACGGTATTGCGAGAGCCATCCCCCCAAAAAATTTTACTTTTCCGGATGACGTTAAAAGTTGGTCTGCGATCAAGGGAATGGACAACCACAAGATCCTCCATGTGCGACCTAGATGGCACCTGGCATTGACCGGCGAGGGATTCACTGCCATTAAATGTGGTCAAGTGACACATTATCCACATCCGCCATATACACGCCTATCTCTAGAATATTGGAGCATATGACCTGCAGACAAGCCCTCAGGAACTTGACCTCGGTGTGCTGGTGCAGGACGACTTCGGTTATTCCAGACAGTCAGAATACAAAAGTGGTGATCAGCACGTTCTTAGCTTGCGGATGGCATTCGAAAGTTTGGATTCATTCCTCTTCTCTACGATGCGCCATGCCTACGTGCGTTAACGTCGAATACGTAATCCAGGCTTGGCACGCTTGGCTAAACCGTGACCTTGTAGCGCTTGAAACTCACCATAGTCGAGCAGCGACTAAAAACACTCGGAGTTTTCAGTAGACGCTACAGATAGCTACGTGGAGACCACATATTAGTCTACCAGATACGAAACGACCCCACGTGCACATTTTGCCACCTACTGCAACTCATCCCGAACAACAACTTCACAGGCAATAGCCTGAAACGAAGTCAACAACACAGCCGGCTTTTCAGTAAGGCTGCACGAACCTCAGCTCATAGCGACTCAGTGATTCCGCCATAAGTAGCCATAGAACGTTTCGGTGCCTACGCCGTTTATGTGCTCAACGACAAACTGGACGTTAAGAATTCTATCCGACCGGACGCATCATTAGCACCATTTGCCAGCGGACCAGTTTAGTCGTTAACACATTTATGAAAGCCGATTATTATATTAACAGAAATGTTTTGGAACGATCATCTATGCTAGTGAAGGATATGTTCAAAATGTCCGCCGGCATTCTGCTTGCAGTGCAGAAACCGCTTGAGGCAATTGGCGAGCACTTTCTCCAATGTATCCCTCGTGATCGCGCGACATTCGTTCACAATATTTTCTTTCAACTGGTCCAATGTACGTGGCCTTGTTTTGTACACGCCGCTTCAGATAGCCCCATAGAAAAAGTCCATGGGGTTAAAATCTGGTGAGCGAGCAGGCCACTCCATTGGTCCACCGCGTTCGATCCAATGGTGGCCGAATTTGTCGGTGAGGTAAGCACGCACCGTTTTAGCAGAATGTGCTGGTGCACCATCCTGCTGCCACCAAGTGGTACTGCATGCCCCTTCGGCCTCCAACTGGGGAAGCACCAATGTCAACAGCATTTCCAAATACGACGACGCTAGGAAAGGATAAGGCTTTAGTACTTCAAAACAACAACCTACCGGTCACATTCCCGGAAAAGAAATATGGGCCCAAGATTTTCTGGCTTGTTAATCCGGCCCAAACCATCAGTTTCACATTGTGGTTCATACGTGATGCGGTAAATTTTCGTGGGTTGCTGGTAGCCCAACAGTAATGTTTCATTGTTCCATGCAGATGAAACGATGCCTCATCTGTAAAGATAACAGAACGAATATCCCCGTGGTCCAGAAACCAGCGGCAAAATTCATGCCGCTTCTCCGGATCGCATGGGTTCAAAACCTGCACTTGAAGTGCACGGAATCTGCGAAATTTTCGTTCCAGTAATATCCGGTGTACCGCATATCGGGTTGTGTCACAGTGTTGTGCGATCCGACGGATGCTGAGATCGGGACTTTTTGACACTTCACTGACTACAGCGCAAGCTGAACAGGCGTCCGTGGTGATGCGACGCGTTCCGGTTCTCTTC